GAGCTGCAGGAGGAGGGTATGGGCTCCACCGGCCAGAGGACTGAGCCCCTCCTTGCCCCGCCCCACCCTCCAGTCTACCCTTAGACCTCAGGCCGGGACACCAGCCCTACAAATCATCCCCCCACTGACCACCCCCTCACAGTGTCCAGGGCGGTGTCGGTGCCTGCGACATTCAAGAACGTCAGAACATTAGGACGGCTCAGGAAACTATAGAGGCCCTGGCGGGAGGATGGAGGTGGGAGGGCCGGAGTCAGGGATCGCCTCACCAAGAGCTTCCACTGCCTGCGGCGCCCCCAATCACTGCCCCTAAAGACAGCCACTCACCCCATTGTCCTCTGAGGCCCCCAGCGCCCCGGGGTTTCCGGAAAGGTCCAGGTGGGTCAGGACAGAGTCAAAGGCCGCATTGGAAGCCAGTGCCCGGCCCAGAGCCCTCATTCCTGGTGGTGGAGGAGGGAGAGGCTCAGCAATTAGGCAGACCCATCCTCCCGCTCCACCCACCCCACCCCACCTTGGCCCCGCCTACCTCGGGGCGTCAACCCCGTCTGCGCTAGGTTGAGTCTCCTCAGGGCTCCAGGACGTTGTTCTAGGTGTCTGCTGAGGGCAGCCACGCCTGGAGGATGGGGGCAGCCATGTGGGTCTCACTATCTCCAGTGCCAGCCCCCGGGAGTTCCCCAAGCTCAGCCATACCTCTGTCATCCAGCAGATTCCCGGCTAGGCTGAGCTCCCGCAGCCCAGAGCTGGAGTGCCCTGCCAGTGCCTGGGCCAGTCGCCGGACAAAGTCTCTGGGGACCAGACCCCAGGCATGAGACTCTGACTATGGATTCCTAACTCCTCCCCAGGCCACAAGGCTCCCAATCTCAAGCCCCTAGCCTCTTCCCCCCAAGCCCTACCCTGGCCCCCTTACCCCCTCAGGCCACAGGTCTCCAGCACCAGCTCCTCCAGGTGGGACGACTGACTCATCATGTGCAGAATCTGTTCCGAGACCTCAAGGCTCTGGGAACCAGAGTGGAGGCTCAGTGGGCTGCACCTGGACCCCGAAACCTTGGCCCCTCCCTGCCCCTACACTCTCACCAGCTTCATATCCACACAGGAGAGGCACCGGAACCACAGGTTGTAGGACAGGGCAGCCACACTCAAGGCTAGGTCCCTGGGCGGGAGAAGGGGCAGGGGCAGAGCTCAGGGCTCTCCAGCCAGGTCCTAGGCCCAGCATGCCCCTCCATGGAGAGGCTGAGGCCTAGGAATGTGGGTCACAGCATCTTCCTCCCTTCTTTGGCCTAGCAGGCCACCTACCGACTGCCTAGATGACCAAAGTCTCCTAGGCTGAAATGGCGGCAGCCTTGACGATGGTAGATGGTGTCCACATCCTGGACGGGAAGAAAGAGTCTCCAACTGGCTTGGGGGCCACAAGAGGTAGGGAGGGACTCAATGTACATGGGGGATCAGATGTCTACGGAGCCCTCCAGAGAGGGCCCTACCCTCACCCACTGAATCTCCTCTCGGAAAGGGAAGCCATTGTAGTCACACAGAGCCTCGTATGTCTCCAAGAAGCCACCTGGGGAGGTGCCAGGGGTATGACAGGGTGAGGGTGTGGGGAGGAGAGAGACAAAAGGTCAGAGATAGAGGAAGATCAGACCCAAGCTGGGTGGTAGCTGTGCCTTGAGTGGCTCTGTTCAGTTTGGGAGATCTCCAAATCCAGGGCTCTGGGGCTACAGGAGGGGGTAGCCTGAAAGCCCTGTGTGGCCCTGCCTTAGCCCTTACCACAGGGGCTGCTGGGTGAGGTGGCCTCTGAGGGGCTGCTTCTCTCCAGCCGAGCCAGCATGGAGGAGGGTGTGGGCCTCCGGAATAGTTTCCTGGGGAGGGAGATAAAGGTGAAGGGGGCAAAGGACTTCTAGCCCCTAGGATGGGAGGCAGCCCAGCTGTGTCATCCAGAGCATCCCTGCACTGCCCTCCTTCCCTGCCAGCCCCCTGCAGTTGCCAGTCCTCACCCAAGCGTCGAGCGAGGGAAGACCTTCTTGATAGCCACAGCAACATGCTGGGCCAGCTGTTCCAGGGCAGCCACGCCAGGAAACTCCAGGACCAGCTCAGGTAGGGACTCCAGCTCAAAAGTGACCTGGAGAGGGAGGGCAGCTGAGCTGGGCTCCATGTGTAGGGGCAGGTGGAGGGGGAAGTGAAGACCAGGCTGCAGGCCCTAGTGGGGTACTAGGGGTCTCACCTGAGGCGGTGTCTCCTGCAGCGCCATGGCCTGTACCTCCAGGTAGCTGAATGTGCAGTCCACCTATGGAGCACCTGGATCAGCTGGGACCAAGGTCCAAGTCCCACCCTCCTAGGAGCCCAGTCCTTTGTGCAGCCTGGAGCTGAGAGCCAGACCTGCCTAGACTCCAGTCTTGCTTGCTGCTGGGACCCCAGTGCTGTTGGAAGGGCAGAGCCCTCAAGGACAAGACAGACAATGCTGCAAATGCAGCTCTCATCCAGGAAGCTGCTGGAGGGCAAGAAGAGTGGCAGCCAGGCCCTGGGACTTACTCTCAGGGGGAGGCAGGTGTGGAGCAGGTAGGCTCTCCATCGTAGCAGTGCCTGGGGGGAGAGAGGGTCTGAAACCCCAGGCAAGACAAGAGGCCCTTTCTGTCCGGGCCGCAGAGGCCCTCCTAGTCTCTGCCCCCTGCCATACCAGGACGTGACATCGATCAGCACCCTCCCGCTCTGGTAGCCAGGTTTTCAGCAGCAACTCCGCCTCCTTGGGCCACAGGAACCTGGTGATCTCCCCTGTGGAAGGGAAGCCTGCTGGGTAACTTTGGTTCTCTCATGGAGGTCAATTCATGCCCACAGTCTGTACCAGGCTAGGGGCCTGAGCTCATCTATGGGCCAGCAAGGAAGGAGTGGAGTGGATCTCGGGGCCATCAAGCCATCCGGAGGAGCAAAGAGAACCGCTTGCCCAGCGTCCCGGGCCTCTGAGTGGGCCTCTGGTTTGGGGGCCGCGCTGCTTCCTCCCAGCCAAGAAAGGGAGAAGGGGCAGCGCTTACCTCGCAGCTCAGAGGATATGCCGTCGGAGGTCTGGGCCATGCGGCCAGGCCGGGCGGCCAGGGCGGCCCAAGGAGCTCCGACGAGAAACAGCAGCGGGCGGGCGCGCACAGGAAGCCTGGGGCCCCGGCCCGCACTGCAGCCACCTGCTCCTTCTGCAGCGGAAAGTACGCGCTGCTTCCTGCCAGGCCGCCCCCGGCCCGGCTCCTCCCCGCCCGGCCTCTGCGGGCCGGGAGCAGTCGCCCGGGTTCGGGGGTGTGGGAGGGGGCAGAATCCCAGCTGCCCGCTTGTCCTGTCGCACAAGAGCTACTCTGTAAGGGCAGACAGGGGGTGGGAATGGTATGGCCGAAGGGTCGCGCGTGTCGCGCACCCTCCGCGGTTCCTAGCCCCCTACTTCCACGCCTCACCGCAGTCCCTGCTGCGAGCACCAGGGGGCGCTGCCCGCTCGGGGATCCCTGTGGCCCACTCGGGTTCGTCCCCTCCAAAGCCCAGCGAGGGAGGTGGACAGGGGGTGGGACGGAAGGGGCATCTCTCCATCAAGGAGCGTCGGATCTTTCCCAACACCAGGGTCCTAACCTGGGTTGAGTGAAGGTCTGACACCCTGGGCAGGGCAAGAGACTCCTAACCTGGAGTCTGTGACCCCATCGGGGATCCACGAACTCTTGAAAGGGTGGGGAAAAAACACCCGATAGGCCCAGACGCCCTTCTCTGAGGCAGAGGTTCCTCAGCTTTTATCAGATTCAGGCTGGAACAGGGCCAGAAGGTGGGGGTATGCCCTCAGGGGGCAGCTTCGGGCTAAAGCCTGAGCCCCAAGGGCTTCAGGGAAGGGTGGAGTGACTCATGAGCAAAGGCCAGGTACAGGAGGGCCCTCCTGTGTGTAGCAGAACAGAGTCTGGGGAGGGGGAACTACTAAGGAGAGAGGGAAGCTACTGTCTTCAGGGCTGGGAGGGATCAGAAGGTCATGGAGGCCGGGCGTGTCAGCCGAGCATGCTGCCTTATAGAAGACTGGGGACCTAGATTCTGGAGGGTTCACAGGAGGGGATTAAATCTCTTTCTTCCATTACAATCTAATTAAACTCCACTTGTGGGATAAGGAACAGCCCTCTGCCCTGCCCACGGCTCAGCCAGGCAGAGGTTAAATAACCGGGAGAGCAGGTGAGAGATACTGGTTTCTCTCCCAACCCCTAGCTACTCCTCCCCATCATGGGGCTTGCAGACAGGGGGACCATCCTCCAGTCATCTGACCTCCACCCCCTCCAAATCTCATCTCCCCTTGCTGAGGTCCACTAAAGACTAGGACAAAGTGGAAAGCAGAAGCTGAATAGTTAGAACTTGGGGGAAGCCACTCCCTCTCCTCAACCAACAGGCCCATGAGGGCTGACAGGGGCAGACTCAGCTGGAGAGCAAGCTGAGTTCCTGCCAACAGCGGAAAGAGGAGGGCCTGCTCTCCTGCCTCCCAGTTTGACAGGAGGGAGTTTGGGTTAAGATCTAAGACTTGTTGTAAGACCACATGGAACCCATGAACTGCTTTTAGAGTGAGAACTCAATAGGTCTCACGTACTTACGTACTCACGTACTTACGGCATGGCCAAGTGGTCAAGAATTCAGGTTCTGAAGGCAGACTCCTGAATTCAAGTCTTGACTCCACTTCTTACCAGCTGTTTGACACTGATTAAGTTACTTAACCTTTTTGGGCTTCCAGTTCCTGTTTTTATAAGCTGGAGCCATTAACTTATCTCTAAGTGTTACTATAAGGATAAAGCGTTTCTTTGTTTTTTTTTTTATCAAGATTAGCCCTGAGCTAACATCTGCTGCCAGTCCTCCTCTTTTTGCTGAGAAAGACTGGCCCTGAGCTAACATCCGTGCCCATCTTCCTCTACTTTATATGTGGGATGCCTACCACAGCATGGCGTGCCAAGCAGTGTGTATGACCGCACCCGGGATCCGAACTGACAAACCCCGGGCCGCCAAGGCGGAATGTGCGCACTTAACCGCTGCGCCACCAGACTGGCCCAGGATTAAGTGTTTATTAAAAGTGCTCACAACAGTGCCTGGCGCTCAGTGAACGCTCACATTTGCCAAGTCTACCATGGCAACCCCAGGACTCCAAAACAGAACAATAGAAAACCTATCTCACTGGGACTTTTCTTTTTAGAACAAGGATGAGAAACACAAGAGGAAACGACTGCCAAAGGGCTCGAGCTGCTCCTCAGGTGGAGGGACTCTTGAAGCCAGCAGCCACGCTCGCGGCATCAGTCCATGTCTGGTGAGTGCTGGGGGGGACAAGCAAGGGGCTGTGGAGGAGGACACCAGGAGGAGCATGGCGAGCAGGATAGGAGTGCCGGGATAGCCACATACCTTCTTAACTGCTTTTGGTCAGGGCAGCAGTGACAAAACAAACATAATTGCTGTCAGAGACCAAGTGAACACAAGGGACTCAGCTCCTACAAGTGACAGTGACTCAATGAGAGGGGGAGAGGCCTTCCGTTTGTTCAAGCCTGTCTCTGTGGTGCTCCAGACAGCATGACACTCCATGGGCGCTCAGGAAATGCTAAAAGCTCATAATGAGGAATAAGCCCCGCCTGCTCCAGTAGCACAGGATGAGGACCTGCCAGGCTGCACCTCCCAGTGCTGCCACAAGGCTCCTCTCAGTTTTTAAAAGACAAGATCCTGACCAAAAGCAAGAGAGGGCTCTGTGCTTGCTGAGCTGGGCAGCAGCAGATGGGGCGATGCCAGCCCAGGTGTGGAAAGGGAATAGATCATTTTACTCCCGTTCCTACTACGGCTTAGCAGTGGGGAAGAGTGCTGCAGACGGGTCAGTTAACTTCCCCATCAGTTCTCTGGCGCGGAGGAAGAGTGAGAACCGGCTCCTGCCAAAGGCTTTATATTTAATAGAGTCACACAGGATGTATCTCCGGCTAGGCAATGGGAGATCCTTTTTCAGCCTTAACTCCCATCAGACTGTCACTTTTCTTACCCCTCTCCCCATCCAAAACAAACCCACTTTTAAACTTTCAATTTGAATGTATATAATGAGAAATGAAAAGCTATGCTTAAGATATAAATGCTCACTGTGCTGCAAAGAGATTTTCTATTATAGTTTATAAAAGTTACATGCCCAGTTTCTGCTAAGAGAGTACTCTGGCCCCTGTGGGGGGCCAGCCCATGGATGGGACGGAAACTCAACGCTCCAACAGCCTCAGGCCACTAATATTCAGTCCAAGAAGCTGACTGCCTGGTTCCACAGTCCTGAGGCTCAGATGATGTCTTCCTGGGAGACCTGACTGCATGGACAGTACAAGCTAGCCAAAGGCTACATACATCTTGTCCTTTGTTACTTCTCACTGAAAACTGGTAAGTTGGAATTCTGGTTAAAAAACCCTGTAATTAGTGGCTGAAACTTTCACCTAAAATGAGTTTGCCAAAGCAATCTGCCCCAGAAATGGCCAGCAGCAGCAGGATGATGTTTCATTAATGCATAAACTTCCCACTGACTCTTTCCATCCTGTTCCTGTGGTGCTAGCAAGCAACTCCGCTATACAGGCGTCTCTCTCCACACCTGGTGGTTGTACGTGTCTCGCCTCTCAAATGAACTTCTCTAAGGCAGACTGGGCCCACTTCCCTCTTTTCCCCTGTACTTGGCAAAGCTTGAGGTACTGATCCCAGCCCTCTTTCAGCTGCGATCGTGAGGACACAGCTTCCCATCAGCCCTTTCTACCTGAAGCTCTGTGGCCCAACCCCCTCTGCCACGGGGAACCCACTCCAAAGATGGACCATGGAGGCTGGCAGCTGTCATCCACTCACCTCTCAACTCATACTTTCAGGGAGTTAAAACTTATAGCAGGATGCACTCAATATCCCATCATCTGCCAAGATCATCTCCCATAGCTAGAGAGTAAGTGGCCATCTGAGGGAAAGGAGGAGGCCTGCACCCCCGAGGCATGGGTGCGGAGTGCCCTGGGCTCCTCATCAGGCAGGAATCACGCGGCAGCGTGTGGAGCACTTGTTAATCCGTATGATTTATTAGCTGTACAGCAGTAGATCCTCCTCCCCAGCTCTCAACCCCATCACATATTTTATTACAGGTCTCTTGTTGGCATCCTAAAATAATGAAAAATATCACACAGTACAGCTAAGTACAAAATGCATCAACCTAGAGTCTGATAGCTAACTGATGGCTCTCTTAAAAGCAATACACAGAAGAAAAAAGTGTTTGAAATCAGCAAGACTGAGGCTCTCTAAAAAACACATTTTAAACGTGTGACAGTTCATGTGCAAGAATCACTTTTTAGTTGGTTTTGCTTCACATTATTATTTTTTTTTGAAGATCCAAAGTTTAAATTACTGACCTAGTGAATTTCCTGGCCCAGCTTTTAAGGGCTGCTGTGACCCGCTCATAATCACCCTTCTGCTTTAACAGAGGATTTACAGAACACAAACAATTCAGCTACAAACAGAGCAAAGAAAATGTCGATGGGAAATCATAACTGAAAGTTAATTGTACAAGGTTCAAATGCTGGCTCCGCGGGCTGGAATTCACGATCTCCCGTGTGGGGTCCATCCCCAGCGGCAGCAGTCTGGGTGCCGTTCTGCTACATGATTGTGATCCAATTTCTTGTCAACACTGACACACTACAGAGTCTGTGGTAACTTAATTTGCAAGTAATTAAAATGCTGGGTTTTCTTACACTGCACTTCTTTTCAACCTCTTAATTAATGGAAAAGATTAAAATGTAAAAAAAGGTTATTTACAAGCTTGACCATACCAGAAACTTTGCCAAGAAAGAGGCAAAGCCTTCAGACAGAAACCGATCGTAGCATGCCATACTACTGGTGTGCAGCTGACTCCAAAGCAAAGGGAGCCAGGGAAAAGCAAAAGCAAAAACCAGTTTAAAAGTCTAAGTCCTTCCCAAGTCTGCATTTACAATTAAAAACTCTCCTGGGAAGAAGACCATAGAACTCTGGGAAACCTGGCGGCCATTCTGGAGTGGTTTACCATAGCAAGAGAGAGGGTTCAATGTCTCTGTCTCCTAAGAAAACCAGTTAGGCGTCAACACTGTCCTCAGCACTTCACAGTAAACCCTCAGAGACTCAGAACATTCCATGATTTGCTAACATCAAACAGCAAGTTCTAGTTAAATCACATTTTTCTAACATCATCCTTGAAGTTTTAGTTCTCAGTATGTTTGGTAAAATGGTGTAAAATGATGCTTTTCCCAAAGCCAAAAGAAGAAAGGAGGGAGAAAATTTAAGATGTGGGCCGTTTAAACACAGCCCAGAGAAGTCCTGGCGATGAGCGGGGCCCCGCCATCACCGGTCCATCATGCTGAGGATCATCTCGGGTGTGAGGTCTCCATTGGGGGCGTCTGTGGCAGCTGGCTGGGCCTCCTCTTCTTCCCCCTCCACGGGCTCTGCATCTGGCTCTTTTTTGACTTCAACTATAATGTTCTCAATTGCACCTGTACTCTGGTCTTCAACCTGAATGATGGCTGTTGCTGGCAAAGAGGAGCAGGAAGAAAACAAACATTCTATTAAAGCCCCCAAGCATTGCACGGGTCTTCTCAGACTTGACGCTAAATGGATGTCAGCAATACAGGAAAGCGTTAGTAGTGATACAGAGAAAGTTAATAAAAAAAGACTTAATGACCTAAAATGTGGCTATACATAAAGCTCCAATATTCTAGAAACTATCAAAGAACAAAATGCTGACATTCCATCTTCATATGCCTCCCAAATTACATATTAAGAGCCTTAATTTTCCCTATGTCATAAGTGTGGGCTTTACACTAGTGTGAGACAGCCAAAAGATGCGGACACTGTGTGACTAGAAGTACGTCACCGAGTGTGTGATGTAGGTCCATTTTAGAGGTGACCCCACCCATTGTAAGAACCTGACATTTTTGATTCTGAAGCTCTCCCACACCCAGGGCCCTCCCAGCAGTTTGTTCACTCAAGTGTGTGTAGGTGAAATGGTTCCCAGGATCGATAGTTAACCAGTCCTCTGTGAGAGACATCTATACGTGGGGTTCAGGGAATGAATTAAAAAAAAAAGATTAAATCCTGCATTTGTTAAAGAAAAACAAAAACAAAACAAACTGCTAGCTTTTAGAGGATCTGGAGTGAGGCATGAGTAGTCCCCCAGAGCCTGCTGTCACAAAGGCCACGTCCACTACAGGAGTGTGAGGTGGAGGACCAACACCTTCCTTTATGTCCTCTCCAAAATCAGAAGGCCAGCAATTGAATCCACCGGCCTGGACTTCTGAGGAGGGCTAATCTCAGCACAGAGATTGCTTTACCCCTCCACCCTTTAAAATACGGCTCTTTTCCATTCATTACCATATCAGTGCTGACAGTGACTTTGGTTTGTTTGCAAAACCCTCCCACAGTCACAGTACCCATCTTGCAGAACATAAGTACCCTTCTACTCTGGAGTTTTTCTCACCAAAATGTTAAGAGGCCCCTGGAGACTTCCTCAGATGTTCCCCAGTAAAAACTAAAAAAATTACTTCCTGAGAGTTTGCTCCTGGCGAGACCTTTACTTGTTCTCAGGGCTTAGTTCCCATCTCCGCAAAGAGCAAAGACAGGTTTGGCTCCCCTATGTGCTGGGAGAGGATACCAGCCTACTGAGCTGAGACAAGTAACTTACGCTGGGTCTGTTTGGGCTGGTTGGTTCTGCCAGGGGGGCGTCCTCTCCGCTTCTTGGCGGGTGGTGGGGCTGGGGTAACAGGCTGAGGCTCTGGCTCAGGTTCAATTTCCACGGCAGGCTCCTCCTCATCCTCATTGTCATCCAGGTCTGGCTCAGCATTTTCTTCTCATAAAAACAGGAAGAACAGGTGGTGGGGCAAGGAGAAGAGCGGTGGAACAAAAAACAACACAAATAATCACATATTCTGTAAAGTCTAGTGATATATTTATTTTCATTATTAAAAGCCCATCTTAAAAATGCTTTTCCTGAAATTTCTGCTATCAAAATTAACAGAGTAAACTCATATTGTGGCAGAATAAGCAAATCAACTTGAATACTATTATTCATATTTTACGTGGATTAGATACTATTTTTTTCTTTATAAAACCACCAAGGATTTAAGCTGAAAATAAAATAAGTCATTCCCTCCACCTTTTATACAAGGATAAAACAGGACATTAAGCCTGAGAGGAACCCCTGAAATGGACCCCTGAAGATGTGGTCCTGCTTATTTCTAAGTGAGTGGAAGGGGTGTGTGTGTCTATTTGTCAGGGAGCAAGACAGAAGTTCTTATGCATTGGGAGCTCCTATTTACTAGGATAAGAAGCAAGAGTTCTTTTAAGACTATTATTGATGAGTTTTTTCTAAGGTCAAATTTTTGGTCTTAATTTTTTCCCAGCTGTACCAGACCCAATGGGTCATTCTTAACTCCCTTACCTTCTCCCTAATATCATAATCACATAAAAGGAGACAGAATTATTGTAAGAAGAATACTGATGAGGAGCCTGATGATAATGTGGCTTGGAGTCTCAGATCTCTCAGTAGGTAGGTGTGTGACCTAGGACAATGACCTCACTGAACCTCAGTTTCCTTGTGAAATCACTAAAGCACTCTCAACCTACTTACTAGTGATCGAGGATCAAAAGCACTGAGATAACACGCGTAATCATGCTCTGTAACCTACACTCTATTACACAAACATAGCTGTTATTTACACTGTATATCACAATTTAAAAATTCTCCATTATTCCATTTAGGCTTCATTACTTCATTTAATAAGAGGTGTTAGACTCATTTTATAGAAAAAGTGAGAAGCTAAGTAATTTGTAAAGCACAAGCTAAGCCACAGCTAGTGGAATTCAAATCTCTGACCTCCGTTTGGGGCTGTTCTGCTGCCCACACCTGCAGGCAGCCAAAGAGCTTGTTATCCCTCCCCCAGTGCCATGGCACGAAATGTACCCTGCTCGCCTGTCTCCAAGAGCACAGGTTACAAGCACATTCTCTTTCTCTGGAACCAAATGTTTAAATTTAGAAATCTTTGGGTAAATGCCTGATCTTGAGGACAAAATGCCTTATTTGTCAAGCAACTGAAATTCTAAGTGAAAATGTGGGGAACATACTGGTACGTGGCAGTGTGTCAAGAACGACATGGTTCCCTGTTGAACTTATTCAAGCCCCCTCCCTATTGCCTAAGTTGGCCCAATGCCTAGAAAACTAAACAAATTTAGTCAGAGTTGGGGGGAAAAAGCACACAAAGAAGGTTAATAGGGTCAAAGGATTATTGACTTGGAGACATTTTGGCAAAAAGCCTTGAAAATAGCAGTAGACTCTGCTGGTCAACCTCGGCAGATGGCCAACAGGCAGAAAATTTGGGAGGGGACAAATATGACTGCATGGCCTTCGTAAGCAGTGTGATGGAAAGCCCAGACTTTCCAGGGTGATAAAGAGACGGTGGGTATGAGGCCCAGAACCAAAACCAAACTGTGCTCTACAAACCAGTAGTGAAGACAAAAGGAGGGATTGTAGAAATGTATTAGGAAATTGTCAATGAACACTTCAGCTGAAATGCTTCTGGTGAAGTACAATTAGGGAGTGAAGCTGGTCTTGTTGGGGGATGAACCACAGAAGTGAACAAGGCAGTACCATGGGAAAAAACGGTACGGGACACCGTCTCTGGCATGAGGCTCTGCAACTAAGAGCAACTACAGGGATCCTCCAGCTCAAGGTTATCTGTTGATCTCTGGTAACATGTGGGGCCTTCTGACATTCCTTGGCAACTCCCAACAGACCAGTCGTTAATTTCTTAGTGAAACTAAGGGATTCCAGAAAGTCTCTCAGTAGAGTGGTGTGCTTTTATAAAAATCAAGGAAACTGACATTTTAAAGGAGGCATTCACTTAAAAGCCAGAGAATGAAGACACTGCTTAAAACAGATCTTCCACTAAAAAAGGCAGCAAAAAATAAACTACTCTTATGCTTACTGTATGAATATTCTCCCAAGAAATGAATAAAAAAGTGAAGGACTTGTTAAAATATACAAAAACTAAAGGGACCTTTTCACAGATCTAAATATAAAACATCTAGTATTTTCATGAGCAAGTCTTACAATAAAACCAGTAAAGTGACTCAAATTCTCTAATACATCCAATTTTCAAAAATGTCATTCCCTCCCCACTATTTCTAC